TTGAGAACGTCGTAAGTTACATAGAAAACATGCCGTAATGTACCCTGAGTGTAAACCTTAGCCGCATTCATCGTGAAGCGTGCAAGCGATTTGGAAAGATTAAGGTTAATACAATTTTACACTCACTTCTTCTGGAGGTGCAGCAGGAACACGAATAGTTGGTACCGATTCTTTTTTCAGGAGCAGCTTCTTGGCATAACCAGCTTTATACTGACTGACCCTCGTTTATAAAGCAGTCTGGTGAGAAATGATAGCAAAGTGCTTCCATATATTTTATTAGTATTAGTTCAAGAAAAAAATATATAAAAAAAATATCAGATTGGTATCGGCAAATAGCCAAAGCTGCGGCATCGGTATCGGAAGTGAAAAAGTGGTATCGGGACATCCCTAATATGAATATTAATTTCAAGATTATATAGGTGTAGTAGAAATGATTAAACACTGATTGAAAAGCAATTATTCTCAACTAATGCACTGTTTGATCAGCAGTATAGACTTATTTCATGACATTTTACTGGTATTATTGATTAATGTAACATGCAGGCTCAGTCAGTCTGTGCATGGGATGAAGTAGATGCCCATCCACCAGCTCTGTGATGCTGAAATCAGTCTCGACAGCAGACATGCCTTAGTTGTTACTGTTTTTACTGTGTGACATTTTTGGCTTGTCTACCAGTTTCTGGTGTGTGAATCATTCGTATTTAATCAGCCGTGTCACAGTGTGAGATAATGACAAGCTTGAGAAAGAAAGCTAAACCTGTTTACACTTTCCTTCATTTCTCTGTAAACTTGTGTTGAGAAAATAATGAGTTTCTTTTGATTTTACAGGACATTTATTGTGCTGTCTTACTGAATCACTAACTGTTAAACTCAGTAAAAAAGTTAGAGAGCAGAGAAATGATGTTGGAGTAAATGGATGCCTCCGTTTTTCTTTTTCTTCCAGTATTATGAGTATTTCTGCTTGCGGTATGGGTTACGTCCAGTGGTTTGGGGATGAAAGTAAACGGCAGCCCCGGCTGGCTGACAATTTGGTCTCAAATTAGGTTCTTTTATTAAACCAGAATATTTTAAGCGTATGACTTAATGTTTTATAATACTACATAATTCATATGCCCTAAAGAATCAGTTTGACAGTTCCTCTTAGAGTCTGTTTTATCCTTCTATCCTCTCTTCTCCACTTTATTTGAACTCATTATGCTATCTATATGGTATATCGTATGCGCTTACCATCTGTTTACAAAATCGAAACAGTTTGGCTGTCTGTAACTTTTCAGCAAGCTTAATTAGCTGTGAAGATAAGCAGTTTTTAAGACTTGCTTATTTACACTTGGCAAGAACACTTTCAACCGAGACAGCGGAAGACCTTTTAAAGATCATCTGCTCTAATGTGGAACACAAAATGATTGTTGTCACTTTCACAGTCTGCGGTCGGAGACCACATGCACTAGCAGCGCTACAAACAGACAAACTTCCTCTTCCTTTAGGGGCAAATTCTTCTGAAAACCACAAGGATCACAGGTTACAGCCAAGGTGTGCTTTCACTCTTACAGCACTGAAATTTATGCTCATAATACTCCCTTCTCTTGGATATTTCAGAACATTTCAATTGACTTTTTGGGTTCAGGTTCACATATATGTTTTAAGATCTCTGCAACATTACTCGCTTCCTGCCCTGAGTGACTTTTAACACTTTACTTTGTCCTGATGGAAGATATCTCCCGAGGCTATATTTTGACAAGCATAGCTGATGAACCAGGGAACAAAATATTGTACTCCTAGCTTTATGTCAGGAGGTGACAGTAGGGCATTGAAGTAAAATGGGCTGCAGCCATCAGATCGGTTTTCACTTTCCCTGGCTCCTGTGAGTGACACTGGGTCTCAGTTTGCCTTTGAGTTCCTCCGACTCCTACTGAGCCACTGGGGAAAACACAAATGGATAGTGTTTCACACAGGGGCTTTATTTACGTCCTGCATTGAAGAACTCTTTAGATTTGTAATTCATTGCTTGCTGAGTTTGGACAGATGAGATGTTGCTCTGTGGCGTGGTGTGTGGTCTCCGTTGTTTAAAATGTTCTTGTGAATTTTCTGTGATGTAATAATAATGAGTGTTCTGGGGCCTCATTTATAAAACTTTGCATAGATTTCATCCTACAAGTATGTGTATACACACAAACTGATTTTTTTCTTTACATGCACAGGATTTGATTTAGACCATACGTCAATGGGTGAGTCAGCTTGGTTCAATGGTGAATCAAACTGATGGCAGCAAATATGTGACTTTTGAGGGATTTCCTGTTGAGGGTATACGCTATAGGAACAGTGTTTGGGAAAATAGTTGTGACAGGAGGGAAACCATTTAATCCTCTAATGCAGTTCATAATTAACCTCTGACTTTGTAGTTTTGCATTAAATATGATCTATTTTTTTGTATTAGGCAAGTGTTTCTCAATTTGTCCTAGTGCTTGAATGTACTTGAATTCTGAACAGCTGTATGTTCAGTAGACATTTACTTCTTTTAAAAGCATATGTTGTGGTTTGAAGTCCCTAGCGAGTGATGCTGTTGTCCCTAGCGGGTTTTTGCAAGCTTGACTAGCAGGATAAACCTGGGACGACCAGCTTAATCAGCTAAGCTTTGGATCTTTGGTCTGGAAACCCATGTTGGTTTAGCTGCTCTGTGGGGAGAAGACATCCTATGTTAATGCTTATCTTTAAGATATTTGTTGAGCCTACATGTGTGTATTGAAAGCATGTTTGCCCCTATTGTCAAAGATTTATTAATGAATCCCTCCCCAAGGATGAAAGTTTTTTGTTTGTTTTTTTACTTTAGACAAAAGGCAAGCCTGAAACTTCAACCAAATCTGTCACTTTTCAGCAAGTCTTTGCTCTTCCTTTGATATCAACTGCTCTTTCTTCTAGCTGTCAGCAGTATAGCAGTGGGTCCAGTTACACATTTTCCCCTTCTCTCGCTCTTTCCTCATCTCTTTCTCTTCATCCACTCGTCTCTCCATGCTGCTCATGTTTCTATTGGAGATGCTGCTCAGATTGCATCATCAGTCTTAATTAGGATCTCCTGTGAAAGCCTCTGGAGCTAATTAATTTTCTGCCTCATTCTCGTTTTCTTACTTATGATGTTCTGTTGCTTTTTGTTGCTCTTCCAAATCCTTGCAGGAGCTCATTGGCATGCCAACTGCTTTGCCTCCAACATATAAGCTGTAGCTCACAAAAGAGACACCCAGTGATATATAGGCCTAAGACTAAACCATCCTGTGCTGATATGTTGATCCAGGATACTGATTCATTGTCCCCTTGACCCACAGTGGCATCGGTTGCTGTTCTTTGTCACCAAAACCCTTGTGCACCCTCCCAGCTTGCAGCAAACCTAATAGTCTTCACATTTTTTTTCCAGCTGAGCTAATAAAAAGGGGGCCTTTGTATGAGTAGTGTTTTATGAGGAGCCTATGCCTCTGTTTCTTGCCCCAATATATTCTAATGCACAACTCGGCAGTTCCCAAAGCCACAGGCCCCACCTGTAAACTTCCTCAGGGTTTGAATAGTGGCATATGAGTGGGGTTTTTTAGTGCCACAGTTTAGTGCTCTTGGATTGTAAACCTATGGTGGAAGAATAAATGTTAATGCACCAGAATAAATGTTAAAATAAGTATAGGCTCAAGACTTAAACATTATACATGTTAACATTTGACTACAGAGAATAGCCTAAAATCATTTACTGATATTGTCTATGCAAAGTTATATCTCGTTTTTTTTGTTGTTGTTTTTTTTATCCTGTCATAAAGTCAAGAAACTATGTAACTTTTGTCCACAAAAATTACCTACCAATCTCCTAACCCTAACCCTAAAATAATGATGCTGTCATCTTTCTGAAGTCATTTTTACCCCCTGTAATTTGGCACTAAATCTCAGGTGAAAATTGTCATTTTGACCCCTTCGACAAAATAGTGGATTACTTAGTAAATATACATCCATGACATTTAATATTTTGGCTTTCTTCTTAATTTACATATTTCTTTCACCAGAAAACCCTCTGGTTGAGTTGACACGAAATGACCCTTACAATTTTGCTTCCACAATTTCATAGACTTCCATTTTAGGTGCAGTAATATACCCTTAATGTTTGTTTGTTTGTTTGTTTGTTCCACAGAAAAAAATAACATAAGATAAGTGAGTTTGTGTATAACATGTCTGTGTGTATAACTGTGAATGTACCTAAATTGTAAACCATATTATGATGTTTTCCTAGAATTTTCTTTTTGGCTCAGACAGATGACATGTTCAGTTGTCTTATAGGTCAGAAAGAGGTCTGTTTTTAAAAATATAATAAATCTAAGCCTTGTTCACCAAAGTTTCACACTTTATACATACACAAACACGAGTTCCTACTCCCCTTTGCTGTAGGGCTGTAACTCTTTTCTCACGGCCGATGAGAGATGGCTGCTCTGGCAGAAGGCTTTTGACCTGGAACCTCCTTCTTTGTAACCCTGCCTGTACTCTTTTAAGTAAATACAGCCCTGTGTGTGGGAGTGTGTGAAAGGGAGAACACTTGTAAATTAAAGCTGCACTTGGTTGTCATGGTGTGGTCTGGATTGTTCAACAATATTAATGTTATTGGCCCTGTTGCAATGACATGTTGACAGAGAGAGTTCTTTTTCTCTCGTTTTGCTCTCGCTGCTCCTGTATGTCTTTGTCACCTACTGAATGTATATGTATACTGCTTTTCAGAGCAAATTATAGTGCTCATTTTTTGTCTTCTCGAAAATTCAAAACTACGTTAACATTGCAATTCTAATCTACAACGACTTGAACAGACCTCTTATATAATTTTTTTCTTCTTCATGAAATAAGAAATGTCAGCTTCTCTTGAAAATGGTATTATGGTTTTGAAAAACGTTATGCATAATTAAACATTAGTTTATTTCTAAGAACTTTTTAAAGAGTTTTTATTTTGAAGGATCTGTTTACTCTTAACTCATCTTGCTTCACAGAAAACCACCATGTTGATGTGGATCATGGCTTCCTGATCAGATCTTCCTGACCACTATCTTCTCTATCCCTGGACTCATCATTGGCTCAGTGATGAACCACACACCTAGTCCCCACATGACAGAGGCCGCCAAGTCTGGGGCAGGCTTGTTGTGCGGCCTGGGCCTGGGCCCAGATCGGGTGCGCTCCCCGGACAGCCTGACCCACACACCCAGTCCTTCAGGGGGAACACCCAGTTCAAGCCCTCCTCTGCTGCTGTCTCCAGGGCTGGGCTGTGATGGCGCTGGGGACTGGGAGAGCCGCGAGGAGCTGCGTCTGCGCGAGCTGGAGGAGGCTCGGGCACGAGCAGCTCAGATGGAGAAGACAATGCGCTGGTGGTCGGACTGTACGGCCAACTGGAGGGAGAAGTGGAGTAAGGTGCGGGCCGAACGCAACAGGGCACGGGATGAGGTTAGGCAGTTGAGACAGCGTCTGGACGCCCTTACCAAAGAGCTGACAGGGGCACGACGGGAGCGGCAGGAACTGGCGGCGGAAAATGAACAACTGCGTCTGGAAGCCCAAAGTGTCCGAGCTGAACAGAACTCCCCAGAGAGCGCTTCCACTGCACCAGCGTGCGTGAGAGATGGGCCAGGCTCTCCAGAGCAGGAACCTGTGAGAGATGGAAGCACTGACAAACTAGACAGGCAGAAGGTGAGTGTTCCTCAGTTGGAAAGATGTAAAGCTAAATATTTTCAGAAAGGTCTAGTTAGTGGGTTGATTTTTACCAGACCCCAACTGGACACTCAAAATCAACTACATAGATCGAAACAGAATGCAGGGGCGTTTTCTCACAGGAACAAAGGACTAGGTAGAAAAAAAGCAATTTCAGTTATTATATTCGGTTGCAGGAAGATTTGTGCTCTAACCAAAACCGCAGAGAACCATACTTAATTCACAGGAACCGTATACCATATCACCTTTATAAGGGGATTCTTATATGGTTTGCGGGTGCGCACCCTAGTTTGGAAGGAACATCATCCAAACGAACCAAACTGATGTCAAACGAACCCAGTGCACATCAAAAGCGCTTGTCAGAAAGCACACGTATATGTCAAATCAGTTGTATACTAGAATAATACTTGAGAAAAAATTAGAATAAAACAATTTATACCCAGATGCTCAAACCCATAGAATAACCAAGGCTGTTAACTCTCAAAGCAGGTAGACAATTGTAAATGGGTCAGCCACAGACCTGGTTCAGTGCCCCTCCCTGTGATTTCTTTACCTGACTCTGTGCTTTTTGCTTGTGTGCTGGTTTAGTTTTTTTTGTCCTATTATTAGAACCAGCACAACCCCCCCATGGGGCCACAGCCAGGGGGTACTGCACCAGTTCCCACTACCCAGAAACCCCCTTTTCATTCCTAGACTCGTCTGAGCATGTCCGTTATTTCCTTAATGTGTTTTTAACTAATTTTCAAAAGAATTACCCCTCAAACAAATGTTCACCTCTTTTTTGGTTTGCAAAGAACACGCACCAGCAGAGAGAGGGACGGAAAAATAAATGTCAGTGTCATACTTGACCTTCAGAGTTTAGAGCATGATGGATGTATATTTCTGCACTGTTATCAACAGGGGGTAGCCTAGATAGCTCAAGAGTCTCTCTAATTCCTCTAAACAGTGACGATTACCTGGTGAGAGCAAAATTGGTTTTGCTTTTTTTATTATTCAGCACAGAGACATGCACCTTTTCTGAAGTAGGATCAGGCACCCTCATTCAATCTTAGCTAAGTAAACAAATACTAGTTAGCTTAGTCTGATTCTCACTGGATTGTTTGATATCATCCCATTTCCTGATCTGTTTCCACACAGGCATGCTGAGTGCTTCCACATGTGGAACTCTATGATCTCTATTTGTATGCGTTTGGTTCCCCCAGCTGGTAGGGAGGTGTCATTGCACTTTTCGTGCAATTACTGAACTGTGGCCTTTCTGGGATCGTAGGAAGTTGGCAGCATGTTTAGTGTCTCATGTCTGTATCCTGGGGCCCATATCTTTGATATGTAATCCCTACTGTGTGTAGGAAGGAAAGAGAAAGGATGGTGCACTGAACTGTAAAGCCGTTTTTTATTATTCCTCCAAAGAGCTTGTGAATTTCATCCATGCACAAAGGAAATAAAGGAAAGGTGCAATATGATATTTGTTATGTGGGTGACAGAGCAAATGCCTCTTCTGTGGTTTGGTTTAATAAGGAGAAAACAAAAGCATGAAAGTCTTTGTTTTTTTTGTTGTTTATGGTTTCAATTTGTTTTCATTGTCTTGAAACATTGACTTAGACAGCAGTGCTCAGATGGTTTTGCTTCACAACCCAGGTTTTACTTTGGACATTGATTGGCAGTATCAGAATTGTTTATTGTACAAAAGTAAACTTAAAACGTTCTATAAGAACTTACTATAATTTCAAGTTAAAATATTACTCTCCCCTTGTTTATCCCTGTTTGTAAGATAACTCAATTTCTGGGTTCTACTATTTTTTTTTAAATGTTTTTCGAGGATGAGGGCATGTCATGCAACCTCTCCATTTTGGCATATTTTGATCAGCTGCAACCCTTTCTTTCTTCTCTCTCTCTCTCTCTCTCTCTCTCTCTCTCTCTCTCTCTCTCTCTCTCTCTCTCTCTCTCTCTCTCTCTCTCTCTCTCTCTCTCTCTCTCTCTCTCTCTCTCTCTCTCTCTCTCTCTCTCTCTCTCTCTCAGGAGGAGGTGGAGTTATTGGAGGCTCTTCTCAGGGCAAAGTCAGAGGCTCCAGACTCATGGGACGTTCGCAGTGCCAGTAGCTTGCGCTCAGTTCTCAGTCGGCAGGACCGGAGCAGACTGCTGTGGGAGGATCTGGCTTCCCTGGAGGAGGACTCCAGCAAGCTCAATGTTCTCCAGCTACGCCTGGATGAGTCCCAGAAAGTCCTGCTGAAAGAAAGAGAGTAAGAGATCATTGTCCAGGTGGCAACAATGCATGCATCAAACAGACCAGAACTCAACAAATGAAATCAAAGGCCTTTAGAATCATGGAGCTTCTCATAACAGGGTTAACATAGATGTATCCTTCACTGCCAAGGATGACTGATAATAAAAATGATTTCAATTAACTGCTGAATTGTACTCATCATAGACTGGTGAAGGATATATCTATGTTGACTTTAAAATTCACCTACTGGAGGCATCTCAAAGACCAGATGTTTTAAGAACAATCTATTTAGATTTGCCTTCACCCTGTCATGATGATGTTAATGATCTGGCCTGTGCTGTGCATGTCAAGCTATCATCTCTCTCTCTCTCTCTCTCTCTCTCTCTCTCTCTCTCTCTCTCTCTCTCTCTCTCTCTCTCTCTCTCTCTCTCTCTCTCTCTCTCTCTCTCTCTCAGAGATAAACACACACTCATTAAGAACATTGAGAAGCTGGAGGCAGAGCTGAGCCAATGGAAACTCAAATATGAGGAACTGAACAAGAGCAAACAAGAGGCCGTAAAACAGGTGAGGAACATAAGCAACATAACACTTTTTTTAACACTTCGACTGGTGTGCAAATTAGGGATGAATGATATGTAGAATATTCTTCTGATATGTAGAATATTCTTCATATGTTTGCAATTATTTTTCTGGTGATTTATAAAGTCAAGCAACATTATGAACTTTCTTTGTAGTCATTTAGTGACAAATAGTGTGGAAAAATGTCTTGATTACTTTTAACTATATTTATACTGTGCATCAACACCCTGAATCTACTAATCAACAGTGACTAGAGCTTGGGCGATCTGTAAAAAATATTTTCGCCTTAAAATATCGCGATATCCGATTAGGCTATATCGTCTACCCAAGCCCCATCCCCAACACGCCCCGCCGGAGACAACACTACTTACATACACCGTTAACACAAGTCATGTTGAGTTTCGCTGCACTTTATCTAATGATAGCCTGAAATTTAGTTAGTTTAATTTAATGATTGAAACTTTAAAGGTTTTCAGCTGCACAGCACACTCTCCTCAAACACTGTGTTCATCTGCGCTGTGCCGTGTCGAGGGTGTTAAAGTTACAACTCACATAAAGTTGATACTTCCGCGAATGACTGCAATTGCAGATTTCGAACAGAGATGGCGACAAAGAGGAAAAACGCCAGACAGCAGCTTTAAATTAAATGAAAACAAAAAAATCAAACAGTTGGAAATTTCGAAATAGGGATGGTTTTACTCATCATTATACTAATTGATGTTAAACTCCACATTTCCATTTATCGTGAAGTTAGACATGGAAACGGGTAGGGTTATTTCAGTTTTAGGCTTGGAGGTGAAATTATGTTTCGCTTTGCTTGTTGAGGTTCTAGATGTCAGTATGTCACTCCATGTCCTCCTCTCTGACAAGGATGGGGCCCAATATGACCGCAAACTCGCCTCGCATCGGTGGCCTGTCACTGACATGATCTCTGACGACTTTCTAGTCCTGCATCAGAGAGCCGTCCAATGGCAGTGCTCCGCAAACTATGGTTTATGTACATTTGTGAGATACCTTCCACCTGAACAACAAGAATTTAAAGTATACAATTTAGATTTGGAAAATAATATAAACAAAGTTTAAATTCATGGGCAAAAACGAAATATCTATTACCAACCTCTTCACAAATACTTTTTAGCATATTGCCAAGGTAGTTGAGCCCCATCGGCTCCCTTGTGAACCACACTTTGGTGCTCTCGCGTTTGCACAGAGGGATGCGTCTCGGATGCAAATGGAAAGCTCCGGCATTTTCTGGACACTTTGACAGATATTTTTTAAAGCTGTCCACGGGACAAAGTGGGTCGCCAGGGCTCGCAAACATAAATCCTTGTAAATTTTCCCTATCCGATGCAGTGGGATCCTTGTGGTTTTTTTGTCTCTGGGTTATGCGCCAGGGTCAGGTACTCTTTCCCATTCTCGTCTTGCCGGAGAACGAAAGACTCTTTTAGGTTACGGTTTCCTTCTCTTCCCCTCCGTGCAAAACACAGCTGTATGTCAAACCAAACTTTTCTTACAAGTCCTGTGGGTGTGAAAGGGGAGAGTGCAGGTGCATTTCTAATTGACGGCATTGCTTGACTTGAAGTCTTTATCACTTATGATGTTGTATTTTGTAATGTGACGGTTTATACCTGCTCTGAGAAACATCCAACTTGCAACACTGTATTCGCGTCCAGCGGTAGACTGAACAGAGGCATAAAACTCCCGCAATGTCTCATTTAAAAGAGAAGCAGAGTAGGTCTCGAAATCACAATTGTAGCTTATTTAATGCTTCACTAACTAGCAGAAGATACAAGCAGGGTTTAAATCCCAGTTGTGCAGCTGGGGCATGTTGTAACACTGCACTACAATGTGCCCCTATTAGAACTATGCTATTCTATTCTTTACTTTTATGAATTCTATTGAGAAAACATGAGAAAAATGTAAATAAAGACTAAGAGTCAATGTTCAGAAATGAATAATTAATATTATGTTTTGATTTTTGAATTATGCTGTATAGCTGTGTTTTCCGGTGTGTTTGTTGTCAAACTGAAAAATGTGTTTATTTTTAATTATTAAAAAATGCCATTATTTTATATGATAAAGTTAATAATTGTATTTTGAGAAAATATTTTGGTTTGACTTGTATATTTTTTTTATTAGATCAGATAACATTTTAAGCTGTCATATGGTCATGTTATAATGTGCCCCTCACGTTGAAGTGATTTTTCTTTGATTGAAAAAAAAAAGCCATTTCAGTGCAGTTACATGATTATTGAGATATATATTGAATATTGTCAAAAGGTTGGCTGGAAAACATGTATATTTATTTTTATTTGGCTAGATCGCCCCAACTCTACTGCATGTAGTGTATTATGACAGTTATTCTTCAACAACTTGCTATAGGTCACTCTCAAAAGCCAAATAGTTTTGTAGCAGCTGTGGAACATTTCGTTTATTTGGCTTCATTGATTGGTATTGGTATTTTAAGCAATTTATTTTTACTTTTCGGGCATCAAGTCAAGACATAAATTGCTGAGCCTTAATTGTGAACATTAGTATTCTGGCTTCAATGCTGTGTTTCTTATTTGTGGATTGTGTTTGATTTACAAATAACAAATAAAGTACTGAAGCCAGAACACTAACACATGGTGTTCTCACGAGGAACTGATCTCCAGCACTTTCGTGTGGCAAGAGCAAGAAAACCTTGGCCTTTTCTCCAATTTTCCGCATTTTGTAGTGAGAGCTCTAATCAATAGGAAGAGTGCACTGTTGTGTGGGCCTGTTCATCAAAACCCAGCACTTCACCTTCTGACTTTCAGATATCATATTCTTCCTTATAAGTCACAGAGCCTCCATGCATGGTCATTCCTGCTTCAAATTCATAATAAAAAAGTGGACACAGTCAAAAAGTTGGACACACCTACTTGTTCCTCATTTTATTCTAAAATGTGGAAAATAATAATAAAGTCATGAAAAGTATAAAATAAGCTATTTTATTCTAAAATGTGGAAAATAATAATAAAGTCATGAAAAGTATAAAATAAGCTATTTAATACAAAAAATTTTTTTTAATAAAATCATAAGGCGTATCCACTTGGGATGCTTTTTTTAAAGGAGTTCACATGTACGCTGGCAACATTTTGGCTGCTTTTCCTAAAGTATATAAACTTTTTTTTTTTAGTAAATTCATAATGTAGACCCAACTTGTATACCAGTATTTTATATAAGCAAAAATGATACGTATTAAACTTGATATTTTATAGTATAACACAATTATGTTTGTATAAGTACTGTATATGCATATTATATTATACTATTGTATAACTGGCTGCATATATTTTTTTAAATTTGAATAATTGTATTCCAACTTTGACTGATATTGTACATAAGAATACCACCAGGGGGCAGTTGTTACCCATGAACGAGACAGTCTGTCATTGTTCATGAATGATTAGACTGCTGCTTAGGATTTCTTTCAGTCAGGCAATTTTATGAAAGACAGCCACACTGATTGGGCCCAGGGAAACTTTCACTCTCAATTCAAGCCTTCCATAGAGAGAATAAGGGACTGATTCATCATCATATACCTAGACCTCGTCACAGGCGGAGTGATGATGAGTAGGAAGAGATGTGCTTCTTTTTTTAATAACCTCAACCTGTAAGGATGTGCATGAATACCATGAGATGATGAGTAGGAAGAGTGTGCACGCTACACTCAGTAGTTTAATAGATGAGCTGCCTGTCCCCAGCCCAGCTGTGTGAGCTCACGACCTGCAGCGAATGTTAATCACTGCGTTTGAGTCACAGTATGCCGAGTGTGAGACGCTCTAGAACGTTCAGACTTTGACCATAGCGCCCCTCTCGCTTAATGGCAAATGTGCTAGACTGTACTGCCACAGAATGTCAGTACAAGTCGTGTTAAATGAGTGCAGTTTCACAGAGTTTCATCAAATGTGAAATGAGTTTAAAAACCAGACTCCTTCACAATCAGAATGTAAAATCTTTCTGAATACCAATGACATATTCAGAGCATTGCATAGTTTGGTGTAGTTAGGCTGTGCACTTTTTTTTTGAGTACCATAGATATTCTCCGACAAAGCAAGGGGAAGCTTTACTTCAGATCATAATTTCAGAGATGAACTTAAATGACACTTTCTTTTGCAGCTGAATTTTTTGAAGGAGGTGCATCAGGATGAGCTGGGCCGGATGTCTGAAGATCTGGAGGACGAGCTGGGAGCTCGCACCAGCATGGACAAGAAACTGGCAGAGCTCCGTACAGAGGTGAAACGCATGTACTTTTGCTGTGTCCCACCCATGCTGCATTGTTCTGCATGGGCCAGCCGGTTCGGTGTCACCCCAGGACTCACTGTGATCTACATCAAAGTTAAACACCCTCAGGGCTTTAAACATCCATCCGCTATCTCTCCTGTATTTCGACTAGCACGGCACCAAACACCACATCCCTCTGTTAGTCAGGCTGGCGTAATGACAGAACGCTGCTCTAACACATTCCCAGCATGCAGTGTTATCAGCGGGGTGTTGCTGAGATGAACCTGGCAGGAGAGAGTGACATTTTGCACTTTGATGCGCTCCTTAAAAAGCGCCGCCTCTCCTGTGTGTCTGCTCAGATCCGCTGTGTCCCCTCATCTCCAAAATCCCATGGTGACCTCCCTTCATCTCTGCCCTCAGGATTAGAGGCATTTCACAGGCACTGCCTCGTCTCAGCAGTCAAATGATATTATAGAAATATTAATGACTAGTTGGTTTGGAAGAGTTTGGGGTATGAAAGTCAGCCAGCACTTAAGGTGAATCTAGGAGAAATGGTTTCCCATTAAACTGCTTTTAGCGGCAGGTCAGAACTGGGAAATCATGGAGAGCCCTTCACTTAGTTCCAACAACATTCTGGGGTAATAGTAGTCCTGTGTGCTAATGCAGCATAAGCATTAGTCCTTCCTGATTATGGGTATACACGTGGGAAATGCTGTGTCTCCATATTTTATATACTTCAAGTTCTGCACACAGTATATGCTTTAGTAGTTTTCAGGAATTTTAGTTTGTAACAAAAAAACTGTTCAGTCAAAATGATTTGTATAAGGCTTTTACGATACAAATTGTTCTAATGCTTAACGAAAAAAAGATAAGGTTTGGGAACCCAAACCTATATAAACTTTTTTTGTGTGGATTTTCCAAGTGAAAAGAAGTTAACTACTGTAATTAAAAAATTAATTAAACAAACTTGACATATTTATCTAAAACCGTTTTTATGAAGTATTTATTGACTGAATTAAACAGATTGAAAAATAAAACTGTAAAAGCAGGATATGCAAAAACACCCTTCCAGTTGATTTCAAAAAGGTTAGATCCAAATTTGGGTAAATCTCAAACATGCAGTGCAATGCAAGTTGACCTAAGAATATCACTAAAGTAGAAGCATTCTGTACTAAAGAAAAGAAACTAAAGATACTAAAGAAAGAATGAAAAGACTGTTCAAAGGTTTCATTATTTTTAAGAAATAATCATTTTATTCAGCAAGGGTGAATTAAATTGACCAAAAGTTATTTATATAAATATCAAATAAATCAAAACTTTCTATTCATCAAAGAGTCCTGAAAAAGGATTTTTTTTCTCCAATATTCCTGTTTTTACTGTATTTTTGATCAAGAAAATGCAGTCTTGGTGAGCCTAAGAGACTTCTTTCAGCATCAGACCCCAAACATACTTAAATAAATAAATTAAATCAACCTACACTCCAGGTAAAGTATTAATCACTGCTTTTGAATATTTGGTAAAATATTATACCCTTGTGAATATTTACATTTAGGGTGAAATGGTGATGCATTTTATTTTTTATCATCTTGTGCTAAAATGTTGTGCTTATGGGAACTTTGTACATGTTAGGAATAGCTTTGCATTCAAATTTACTTTATCATTATCCTCCAATGTTTTGTTTTCTATTGTTTTATGTCTCTCTCTCTCTTTCCTCACTCCTATCTTACTGAATGTATGTGTGTATGTGCAGATGGAGCGTCTGCAGGTGGAGAATGCAGCAGAGTGGGGTCGTCGGGAGCGGCTGGAGACGGAAAAGCTGGCTCTGGAGAGGGAAAACAAAAAGCTGCGCACCCAGATGGAGGACCTGGAGGAGCAGCTGGCACGCAAGCGCAGGCAGGCCGCCAGCGCCCTGGACACTGACCTCAAGACCATCCAGTGTGAGCTGTTTGAGAGGAACAAGGTGAGTGAAGGAGAGCGCAGTAACCTCACAAATAATCACAAACCTATATAAGTAAGCATTTCTCAACATCTCAGCATCAGCTCAGATTCTACTATACAGCATATGAGAGATGGATGAGGTGTGGTGGCAGTTTGCAAAGTATCTGAGCCTCTTCCTGCAATAAATCCAGGCAGTGTCACTGACGTAAAGAGGCCATATCCATCAGATCCTGTGCTGAGAGGCGTGCGCCCTGTTCTGCAAGACAGTGGATGTGCGCAATAGCTGCCACACAGTTTTGATGGACGTCTTATGTTCTATATTGGCTGTGCTGAGAAAGTTGTTCAGTGTGTGTGTGTGTGTGTTTGTAAGATGCTGGTGAGGCTCTATTAAAGTAGTGTGTCAGGAAATCCAGACACTTATGTCCAGAGCCCTTATGAGCGACCATTAGCTCAGCCAGAGATTTATGAAGTGATCCAAAGCTCCCCTCATATATACGCTGTAAATCACTCGCTCACCTGCTCTTGTACTTCAGCCTGGAAAGTATAAAGATTTAAAGAGAGCGGTGAAGAGGGAAAGATGAATATGAGCAGAGTGAGTTGTTTTAGAGGCCAGAGGTATGCTGAAGGGAAAGGAACTAAGTGAAAGGGGTTAAGAGTGAGCGTAGCATGTCAATTAATCCAGTAACAAGGGAATAGGGATATTGTGCCAGGAAATGGACATGTAATCCCTGCATGCAAGGCTCAATGTGTTGGCTTATTTGTTAAATGCACAACATATGGCCATCTGAGAATGGTGTTGCGCATGCGTGTGTGTGTGTGCGTGTGTCCACATGCTGTTGCACATTCCCACACGAGTGATGTCCTGATAGTGGCCGGCGGCCTGCAGTCTGGGAGAGAAACACAGAGAGATTGATGAGCTTGCTCAGGAGCTGTTGAAGCAAATGGATCGATGAGGACAGGAGCGGAGAAACAGGCCACGGCGCACTGAGGACGATGCACCATCACTGACAAAAAGAACAAAGTGTGATTGATACTGAAATCATATTCCGCTCCAGCCGCTTTCTCACTTTCTCCCGCGTTTCCTTCGGCTCTCACCCGTAGATTGATGTATACTGTCATATTTGCTGTTAAACCCAGTATGCGCAGAATATTGGGAATGGGACTCCGTGGCTACTTCCTGTGTGTGTGATTTTCTGGTGTTTGCCATCCCTACAAGAAAGGGAATATTGATTTGATCACTTATTAGTAGCGTCTTTGTACTCAAGGCAGGGTTCCCAGAGTCATGGAAAACTAGGAAATGTCAGACAATTTAATTGAGATTTGTAGGAGTGGGAAATTTCTATAGTGAATATTTAGTTTGTTTGATAATTTAGTGTGTTTGTGTGCGACTTGATTTTTTACATATAAATGCATTTCTTTTGAATTGTCTATTTATCAAGGAATCCTGAAAAAAATGTATCAGGGTTTCCACAAAAATATCAAGCGTCACTGTTTTTAACACTGATAATAATAAGAAATGTTTCTTGAGCAGCAAATCAGCATATTAGAATGATTTCTGAAGGATCATGTGACACTGAAGACTGGCGAAATAATGCTGGAAATTCACAGGAATAAATGACTTTTTAAAAATAAAAATAAAAATAGGAAACAGTTTTTTTTTATAGTGATAATATTTCGAAATATTACTGTTTTTACTGAATCTTTAATCAAATAAATTGAGCCTGGGTGACCATAAGAGACTTCTTATATATATATAAAAGCCTTTAGCCCTGTCAATTATCTCAGCCTGTCTAAAAATCACAGAGATTTCCTATTAGCATGCAAATGATTTTTTTTTTCTTAAGAAGGAAATGCAAAAATGTAAAGTTTAATTGACTATCCCTGCTTTAAGGCCTGGATCACGGCCCTTTGTAACATGCTGTCTGGTGCCCATCTGGAAGGCTACACGCTGATTCGAAAGGGATTCATCAGGTTGGCCGAGGCTCAGTCAGAACTCAGTCTGACTGAGACAGCGGTGCGTGTACAAACACACAGCTGCAGGTCGGCACATCACACACACACACACACACACACATCAAAAAGGCTCCAGGTGAATCGTGCAGGTGGAGATTCTGCTATTGGTTCTGCTGTTGTCTCTCTTGTTTGTTTTTTTGTGTGCGTTTGTTTTGATCAGGGACTGGTTTTGTTTGGGACCGTGACCTCTTACAAACTTCAAAGCATGTTTGTGTGGGGCTAATACATGATGACGCTTGGGTTTCAACAAACACGAATAAAATGATTTAGGCCTCCATCCAGATGGAGGAACATTGGCAAAACAGGCTGTACAGGGTTTTTTATTTTTTTATTCCTAAAGGGTTTGTTGAGTCTAGAGTAGACACGCTTTGAACTGGAGTTAAAGTCTGTCTCTTTGCGCCCGGATCAAAGAGAAGTTTGTCTTTCTGGAGGTCAGTTTAATACCATACTTTTTCAATCTCTCTCACTCATTTTTTTGTTCATTTCTCTCTCTACAGGTCATTCACATTCTAGTCAAATGTCTTACCACACATATTGCAATATGTTATAAAATGTAGAATGTTATAAAATAGTAATGAAGTCAACTGTAAAGTCAGATTCCATATAGTTGTGAGTATAACATTTCGAAGTATGGGAAAAATTGAGATTTTTGAGAAATTGAATCGTTGTTAAAAGTTCTGTACAGAAAGTTATATAATTTTTGGAATTATTATATACAAATATTTAGGCACAGGTAACATTTACATATTTGTTTTAATGATTTAATTTGTTTTGTTTTATTCTGATCTGTTATGCCCTTTGACCTCCACTATACGCATAAGTATATAAATAATTTTTATATTATTATTTTTTAACTATAGCATAACACAAATAGAAGTATAGAAATTGTCTTGTAAAATATATAAGTGGTTACATTGTAAACTGTTTAAATCAAATGAAAAGTTTTATATAGTAATACTAATACATGTTATTATAATTATAATATATTATAATTACCGGTATATAATATATGTTTTAAAAAAAAGACACAATTTACATTGTTTACAAAATGTATTTCAAGCAGTTTAATTTAAGTCTAAAGATTTTGAGGATCATGGAAAACAAGTGTCCTGTCTTGAATTTTCTCCATATACAGATGTGTTCTTCACGTTCTGTTCAACAGCCTGCCTCTCCTTAAACTCCTTCAACATCTGGCCAGCCATTGCTCCTCCACACAGGTGTTTATGCCTCCTGCTCTGATGGCGTAGAGAGCGAGTTCATTCACCAATCACAATGATTAATGAGCCTATATTGGCTGCTCATCTGCTGTTGTTGCTCCTACTTTCTGATGGAAATGCAGTAAACAGTATCGACGGCCAATGTGGGAGCCCATGTGCTCTGATTTGCATCTGGTTTTGGAAGCAGCAAATGAATCAGTGTGTGTGTGTGTGTAAATGAGCTTCTCTAGTGTGCTACATCTGGAGTAAGCCAGTGTGAAATGAATTGTCTTGCCTTTCAGTTTCTGGGCTGCGTCTCCAGAGGTTTTCCATTTGGGCCTGCTGTGTTTTTCTCATAGGGGTCGCCCTTAACTTATTGAGGTGTCTCATGCACATTTTTCTCTCCTTCATTTTTATTTTTCATCCATCACCATTTTCCAGCTCTCATTCCTCTAACTTTGTCCTCGGAAATGTTTATGATTATTCCATTTTATGCAATGCAAGAGCTTAAATGTGAAGTGTCATTTTTGCACCAGTAGCTACAAAAAAAAAAAGGATTTGGAAAATAACTTTTTCCAAACAAGTTTCCCAGCCCAAACTCATGCACTGAAATTTACATGTCAGACCGCTCAACCAAACAGAAAAATGTTTTGATAGCACAGCAGAGCAAAATACTTTAAACCTTTAAACTGCATTTATCAGGAGCAGATTAGATATTGACAATGAAAATCTACACACACTAGTATTGTGTGTATTTATTTTAGTTTTATTTATATACTATAATGGTCATTTTAAAAATGCTAATGTTCAGTTTTTATTTTTATTTCATTTCAATTAAATTCATTTTAATTCTACTTAGCTTTATTTTTAATTGTTATTTTAGTTCTTCAACAAACTTTTATTACAATTTTATTTCAGTAACATTTCAAATTTCCGTGTCATTTTTTTTCATCTAATATTTCAGCTTAATTACAGTTAATGAAAATAAAGATATACAGTGGGGAGAACAATTATTTGATACACTGCCGATTTTGCAGGTTTTCCCACTTACAAACCATGTAGAAGTCTGTAATTTTTATCATAGCTACTCTTCAACTGTGAGTGACGGAATCTAAAACAAAAATCCAGAAAATCACATTGTATGATTTTTAAGTAATTCATTTGCATTTTATTGCACGACATAAGTATTTGATACATCAGAAAAGCAGACCTTAATATTTGTTACAGAAACCTTTGTTTGCAATTACAGAGATCATATGTTTCCTGTAGTTCTTGACCAGGTTTGCACACACTGCAGCAGGGATTTTGGCCCACTCCTCCATACAGACCTTCTCCAGATCCTTCAGGTTTCGGGGCTGTCGCTGGGCAATACGGACTTTCAGCTCCCTCCAAAGATTTTTTATTGGGTTCAGGTCTGTAGACTGGCTAGGCCACTCCAGGACCTTGAGATGCTTCTTATGGAGCCACTCCTTAGTTGCCCTGGCTGTGTGTTTCGGGTCGTTGTCATGCTGGAAGACCCAGCCACGACCCATCTTCGTGGCTGGGAGGGAAGGAGGTTGTTGGGCAAGATCTCGCGATACATGGGCCCCATCCATCCTCCCCTCAATGGGTGCAGGCGTCCTGTCCCCTTTGCAGAAAAGCATCCCCAAAGACTGATGTTTCCACCTCCATGCTTCACGGTTGGGATGGTGTTCATGGGGTTGTACTCATCCTTCTTCTTCCTCCAAACCCGTCATTGGCAAACCTCATACGGGCCTGGACATGCGCTGGCTTGAGCAGGGGGACCTTACGTGCGCTGCAGGATTTTAATCCA